GGAGCAGAACTTGTTACTCTCACTGGAGTACGCTGGCATGATTTAGGCCGGCGAGAAGAAGGCTGGCTTGAGTATTGCTGCCGAGTAGGGAAGTAAGGCGAGGAAGGAGGAGAGTTGGATTGGGATTGAGGGAAGGGGCAAAGGGGGAAGAGTACATACCTGCTGTGCGATTGGAGCGTTTGGAGCGAACGTGGAGTCTTCAACAACGGTGTCAAAGAAGAGAAGCACCTCCTGCCCCACGTACCTTGTTGAGTGCAAATCTGTGTCTTGTGTACCTTTACCCCCTCCATTCTGGTGGTCGGTGCTGCTGTCTGGTCAAAACACCTTGGTCTGGTCTGACAGTCAGGACTGTAGAAAGTCAATATCTGGTCTTAGCGCTTTGCCATCCCGTCTGACAAATAGTAGTGAAGATAGGATTAGACTGGGAGTGTGTCAGACTGCCACGTCAGATTGTAAGTGGCCTGTGAGCATAATCAATCTGGATGAATTTAATATGTTCTGAAGAATAGTTTCAGCGTTTCCCAGCTACCTAGACCAATTAGTGATTCAAAAGTGACACAGCCAGACAAACAAAAGCATAAAGAAGGCAACAGCAAAGTGACAAGACATACAGCAAGCAAACAAAAGAAAGAAAAAGAAAAAGAAAAAGTTTTCTGATTAGAGCAGTGCTGGGCCGGCAACCGGCCAGTTGAGCTACCCCGGTCCAACCGGAGCCAGACCAGCCCAGGGGTGGTGAACCGGGAAACCGGTTTTGAAAAAAAAGTGCCTAAATATCTTCTTTTTTTTTGGGGGGGGGGGGGCAGATTCCGACTGCACTCTTCAAGAGCTGTCCGAATCCGCAATAAAATTTTCAAGGTACAATATTTTTCAGGGGGCTTCCAGAGGGGGGCAGGGGGTTATTATTGACATATTCAGGCAACTATAGCTTCCTCGGGGAGGGGTCAAGTAAGCAAGTTCACTTATCCGACCCCCCCGTGGCTGGAGAACTTCGTGGAGTACGTCATTTGATATTGATACCCAACGAGATGAACCAGATATGATGAGAGGAGGTCCTTGCCCGAAATTATAGCTCTTCCAGAGTATATTTCGACAACAGAAAAGTTATGGTTCCACCTTTCAGCTCGTGGAGGCAGAGCGTTTTCTATTTGTTGGTTTCTACATAAGGTGAGTTGTCAGTCCGGAAGTATCTTGCCTGGCAGTCTGTCCAGATACATGTAGTGGAGCAAGGTCCATCCGAGATAGATAGAGAGAAGAATATAGCTTAGGTCCATTCTTGGGATTACACCTCGGACCGCTCTGAAATCACGATTCCAAAATCCGAACCCATAACTTTTTCCACAGATGGCAGGGACGTCGCAGAAGGATATAATCTCAGCAGAGCCTCATCTGAAGCATAGTGTTCCCCTCGTGGCTGAGGGTGAAAGAGCATCAGATGTTGCCAATGGTAACTGGTCCATTGGACCACAAGATGACAAATTGGAGAAGAGGCCTACCCGACCCACATCTTAGGAAAAATGCGTGCCTGTTCTCCGCTGCTGATCTGCACAGATCAGCGGCGCATATCCTCTGCCCATTTTTCTTAAGAAATGGGTTCCTGGTCGATCTTTGCCGCTGATCTGCGACGATCGGCGGCCAAGATTGGCCACTTTCTGGACTTGCAAAATCCGGGCCTACAGGACCCGGTTTCGAAATTGCGGGGCAGGGCCCGCCCCCACGAGGCCTCGGGAACCCATACGCGCCGGCAAAAGAAAAAATTCAGCCCCCAGCGAAACTGCACTGGGGGCAACCGGGAGGGAACCGGCCCAGGCCACCGGCATTCCCATCCTCCTCCCTCCTTTCGTCTGATCCTTATCTCTTCGTCTGTGTATGTCTGGACCTGGCGCTTTCTTCCTGTGTACAACGCCAGGCCCCTTCACACTTGGTGATGAATACCATGCGTGTTTAGTCTGAGTTCAAACAGTGATTGGGCTAGTTAGTAGTACTCTAGCATTCTGCTTCGCTACTCTGAACTACGTGAATGAGGTAAGTCCTGTCAGGTCAGTCTGTGTATCAAAGTCCTCCCTGCGCTATTCAGCACCTTTTGTATGTATGAGAATGCACGTTGTCTGTCGAGATTCTACTCGCACTGTATTGTCCATTCAGTCCTTTTCATCACATTGCAGTTCCTCGGTTATTACCTACATTGCATATTTGTGCATGTAACACCAGGGATACTCACCTGCGGCGCCATAGCTCCAGCTTCGTCTTCGATGTACCTGCAGCAAGGCGTCACCTTCACAGGTTAGTATCGGACACAGAGAGAGAGAGAAAGAGAGAGAGAGAGAGAGAGAGAGAGAGAGAGAGAGAGAGAGAGAGAGAGAGAGAGAGAGAGATGTTGAGTTCTTCTTCCTCCTCGAAGTCCACCATCTTTTCCTCGCCCTCTCGCCCCCTGACTTCTCTGTATCTATCGGCTAGGAGAGAGAGAAAGAGAGAGAGAGAGAGAGAGAGAGTGTTGCATACTGTAACGGTGCAGACCAGAACAAGAACCGACCTCTCAATACAAAGTATAAGATAGCACAGCGGAAGACTTAGATACCAATGATCCGAACAATCAATATTGCAATGCAGCCCTGAACACACATCATCATCATCGTTACATGGTGTGAATGGGGTCTGGCGCTTCACACAGGAAGACTGCACCAGCCCCTACCATACACAGACGAAGAAGAAGGGGCTTAGACGAAGAGGAGGGGAAGATGGGAATGTCGTCAACACCAAGTCTTCGGCACAGCCCAAATAGTCCCTCGTCGAAATGTCTGAATCCCAAATGTCAAGTCTGGATCGTCAAGTCCCAAGTCACAACTCTCTCTCTCTGTAGTAGTCCGCTGATACTGAGAAGTCAGGTGGTGAGAGGGGAAGAAGAGATGGTGGACTTAGAAGAAGAGGAAGAAGAACTCTCTCTCTCTCTCTCTCTCTCAGTCCAGTACT